AAACCCTAAAACCCTACACCCTGCAGGTTTTGCGTTCTGCTCTTGACCAACCGAAGCTCCGGAGCGGTCAATGCACTCGCCCGCGAAGCAAAGGAAGGCAGTAAACATCGACCTGTTTAGGGTTTAGGGTTTAGGGACATCGACCTGTGTTTCGCACGAGGGTGGGGAGGGTGGGCCTCTAAACCCTAATCCTGAACTCTAAACACTCTACCCTGAATCCTAAACCCTAAACAAGTCCCCCTACACCCTAAACCCTAAACAAGTCTGTAGGACTTTCACTTTGGAGACGTTTAGCCTAAGTAGTTGCATTCCTGATTCCTACACGACACTTAGCAAGCAGGCCCTAGACTCTGTATGAAACCAAAAGAAGGGTAGCGTTTATGGTTTAAGGTTTAGGTCCCCCTAGGCTCTGCATTTCGAAGCACTTGAACTGAAATCGATCCCAACCCTATCAACAAAATGATTATGGAGCCGAATACGCTTGCCAGCGTCAACACGGCAAGTGCGCAGAAATTCCTTCGTGGATCCTTAAGAAACTGCTGTCTAAGAAGCATTAAGTCATTAAGGAGTTACAGCAAGCCCCACTGCTTTGCCAACCCCTAAACATTTGCCAATTCATGACTTCAGCACCTTTGTCTGGAATGGAGAGGCTTTCTCCCAAGTCTGGATCTTTTATGCTAGGCCCTAAGCCCTATTTGGCATTTGAGGGTGCTGGCATTGTCCAAGCACCTTCAACATGCTGGCGCAGTAAGCCCTAAACCCCAAACCCATGACTCACAGCTTACAGGAAGCTGAGGTCACGGGGGCGGCCACGCGACGATATCGCGAGCTGTAGGGTGTGTGCCCGGAGAAGTTTAGGGTTTAGGGTTTAGGGTGCCCAATACTCTTCGGCTAGGGAACAATCTTTGAACAGTCTTGAAACTAGAGTAAACCATCTAGAGAAAGCAATCTTCACATGCAAAAAGTGACGTTGTACTTGATATGTTGGTGCTCGTACCTAGTTTTAAGGCATACGAGTAGCTTACTCTGGTTGGGGTGTCGCTTGTGCCTTCAGGTTCTTGGACGTCCTGTCCCGATGTAGGGTCTGAAGGGATTTATGGAGAGTGTCTTGAAACATTAGGGCCTGATGAGGCATTGTTACTACCGTCGGGCTCCAAGCACTTCAGGTGTATGTAGGGGAACCTTAACGCTGAGAAATACCAAAGGGGGGGTAAGCCACATAAGATCTTCTTCCCATAAGATACTCTATCCCAATTTTCTACTGGCAACTCTGGTATCGATTTTCCAACCACAGATAAACACTGCTCACATGAGGGTTCAGCTCTGGGCATCTGGGAAGGTACTGACAACCATTTTTTGTCCCCCCAAGTACATAGAACATGGGGTATATGGGGATCTTGTTATGATTCTGGTCAAGTTCATATTCTATCTACTTAAGGGGGACTACAGGCTTCTAGAGTACACCCCCCAGAGAAAAAGTGCAGCCAAAAAGCTGTGGCACAGTGTCGAAATGCGGCATGAGTCCTGACATCGCACTGAGCCGCTGGCAATATTGGATACGCATTGGTTGAAAACCCCAAGAACCCGCGGCCCAAGGATGTGTACAGACGAATTAATACATGGGGTAATAGTTGGGCAAAAGCTCACCGAATCCTCCACTTGCTGGAGGGCATAAGGCTTTTCTAGCACACTTAGTGACAACACTGAAAGCCAACGAAGCACACCAGTTCTGAGTCTAGCTGCACACCCTAACAGTCCAAATATTGAATCATCATATATGTGCACAAACCCGGTACTACAATCACTGTCAAGGTACTTGGACCCTTTTGGATAACTACAGGCGGCGCCTGTAGCTCTACATGCAGAATGCGCCTATCTGAAAATGCAACACTACCGGGCACCATGCAGTCGCTGTCCGGTCTTAGAAAACAAGCCCTCTACGCAGAACTATACCGAGCATCGAACCATAATGCTGAACTTCCATTCCTTCCGACTGACACAAGTGACCTTAGACACCTTCCTGCCTAAGGACTCATGTTTGGGTTTAGGGTTTATACGATTTAGGGTTTAGGCTTTAGGGTTGAAATCCCCAAATTAGGGTTATACAGGCAAACAACTACAGCTTTCAAGTGGACTATTGTCTAAACTCCTAGTATCCCCCTCAATGACTGCTATAATGCTCCCCTATAGAATGCCCCATATACTCTACCTTTAAGGAATTTAGACCCCAAACCCTATATATATATATAATCCCCCATATTTAATCCCCCTATATAACCCCCTTGAGGAAGTTTAGACTATAGCTCAAGTAAGTGAACTACAGAAAGTCGCTGTATGCCTGGCCTAAACTCAAAAACATGCTCTGTGGAAGGCCCATGGCCTAGCCTAGCGTCGTAATAGTATTCAGGGTTTTGGATTTAGGGTGGAGGGTTTATCAGGGTTTAGGGTTCAGGGTCTAAGGTTCAGGGCTTAGGGTGTATACTGGTCATTAAAAGAATAATACTAACAGTACTAATATTAACAGTAATACACGGTTCGGCTAAGCCTGAGCAACCAGGAGACTTCTAAAGAACATGCCCCCCGCATGTTTAGGCCGCTTTGGCACTAAAGGCTACTGGGTGGTTTGAAGGTACACGCTACTATAGCCGCATATGAATACACAAGGGTGCTAAGGGAAGAGTATAAGTACCTTCAGCTCAGACTGCTGCGCTAAATAATGTCTTACTTCCCATGCCTAAGTTTCGCTTGTAAACCTCAACCCTAAACCCAAACCATAAGCTCTGAGCCAGAAACCGTAGAGCATATGAAACCTTTACGCCCTGTCGGCCATGCCACCCATGTCTGTCGTTCGGAGGTCGCTGCCTAGCTTACCCTAAGGGTCCATGTACCCAATAATTTGGTGCTTGGGATTTGGGTGATAGTACTTTTAGTACAGGTTTGGGGTAAGTATGTGATTATTAGGCACTTGGACCCTTAGGGTTACACAGGCTGTCAGACTAGAGCTTGGATGTCTTGTGTTCTCTGTGGTGAGCCAAGTAAGATGACAGTAGATAAGGACAAAACATACGAGCGATGCGACACGGAAGTTTCTGAAGACGGAGGGCCCAAGATAAGAGACCCGAGGAATGTGTATGGAATACACAGATGTTTCAGGTCGTCCTTGGGGATTTTACGGGGATGTTTGGGAATCCTTCTCCGGAAGAAAATTAACAAAGCCAGTTCTATTCCAAGTAACATTCAGCCCAACACATACCTGGAGCGAAACGCGAAGCCCGGAAAGATACCCCAACATAGGGCTAAATGAGTCCGAGATTCATCATGTAGGTATATTAAACATATAACCCGTAAGCCCCACAACCCCTGCAGTTTTGGCTACCTAGAAAATTCATGGGCTCAATTGTTTGGGAGATCGCAGACATTCCTGTGGAGACCTAGGCCTTCTTCTAAGGTTCATACCCCTGAAATTGCACGTCTACAAATAAATGTCATTTAGGGACTGAATATCTTCACAAATCATTAAACACTAAACCCAAAACCTACTTTTGGCTACTTTACGACTCGCAATAAGTAAGATACCCTTGACCATAACTATGCAAGAAAGTTTGGGTTTGGGGTGTAGGATCGTGATTACAATATAAGTCATTGTTCCTTTCGCTCCATTATCACCAAACCCTAAACCCTGAACCCTAAAAGCTCATCCCCAAACCCTAATCCCCAATCCCTGAATCCCAAACCCTAGACCCTACTCCCCAAAGCCTAAGCCCCATAGTGGTTTCCATTCTCTTTTCCATTCTCACTTGATCCCGAGGGTGAGGTCTATGGATGAGCTGTTGAATCGTCATCCTTGCTGTGAAAGGCATCTCGGCACTCTTCTACTTAGGGTAGGGTTTGGGGTTTAGGGTTTAGGACTTAGGGTTGGAACACAGATTGCCACCAAACTGTTGAGTTTAGGGTTCGGGGTTTGGGAATGAGGCAAAGACATAGACCCAACAACCAACATGACAACACATCACAAAAAGAGCCGCACAAAGACTGCAGTGCTTCGAAGGGAGGCCACACGGGCATCTACTGTTTGAGCTTAGGCAACGGTATTCTGTACTTACATCATCGGCATAGTTCTGCTCATGCTGTGCATGACTTGTTTGAAGATACGGGTCCTTCCTGGGCTCCCGGTTGAAAGAACCCTGGAACCCCCAAGTAACAAGAAGAATCCTCTCTTTTGAAAGAGCGTGAGGGGGACCGCCATGTTGAGAGAGCGTTGTTATGCAGCAAGGCTGCCGATGGTCATGGTCGCAAAGCCAGAGATCACGTAGAGGACCGCAACCAGCAGTACGAAGGAGAGGCAAAGTGTGCGAAAGCCGGCCACTAAGCCTTTCATGGCATCTGGCCCGAATACAAAAACTAACTAAGGATCGCTTGAAGCTCATTTGGCCTTGTTTTGTGAAGGTAACGAGCTGTCAATTGGGGGCCACACCCCAAACCTCGAAACCCCCAGCAGGGCAGTATGGCTTAGAGCTTCAGTCGGGCGTCTAATACGTTGAGGGCTTGGGGGCGGCCACAGGTATCTGAGGTCATGTTACAAGGAAGGTCTTCTTGTAGTGTTTACAACTTTAAGACTCGGTCAAGCTATGATGTTGTTGTTGTTGTTGTTGTTGACGCAACCTTCTGGGTTGAACGTTTGAGGGTCTAGCATAGGCTGTGGCACAATTAGACGGAATGGCTTACGGCGCTCTGAGCAGTAAGCACTTGCATTAAACCCAGGGAAACACACCATGGCTAGTCTCTCGGTCTAGAAAGGGCTCTACTGTCTTGATGTGACATCAGCAGCAGGCCTTAATACTCGATAATTTGAACGAGAGATTGGTGCAGAACCCATCTTGAGTAGTCTGATTTGCAAACACTAACCAAGGGGTAGCAGATGCTTGCGTGCACCACCTGAAGGCCATTTGCATATTTCTAAAAACCCTAAAGGTCCAAGAAACCAATAATCATATACTTGCCCCCAATCAAACTGTACTAGAACTACTATTACCCTCAACGCAAGTGCCTGATTATTGGGTACTNNGGTACTTGGACCCTCTGGGAAAGATCTAGGGGCAGCAGGCTGTGGGTGCTGGCTTCACGATTACGTGCAAGGCCAACTCTGCCCTAGTTTGATGCGGTTTAGGGTACAGGGGCTTAGAGTAGAAAACTACTACATTCTGGAGCACTTGTTTTTACGAGCTGACGCAACACAGACACGAAGAGTGTGGAAAAACACGTGGAACATCAAGCTGGCGCAAAAGGTCCATGCAGGCATGCAGGACATACGTTGGGCTCACCCGAAGGTATTCCGGTCTCGGAAACTTTCAAAACTCCCAAAAATGCACCTCGTAACCTAGAAACCTTACTATAGTGACTTTGGGCCCACTGGGCTTCCGTGCTTCAATACCCCAGTGTATACGAATCATGCAAGTACATGGACCCTTGGGTTACATATGTTGACCTGCTGCACACCCTCAAAACACGGGCCTAAACACCACGCACAGCTTAACAGTTGGGGTTTACGGCCATCGTCCTGTGCAAGGCATACGTAGAAAGAAGGTACTCACAAGAATGGGCTTTGTGCCTAATAGTCTGGGAGCTTTGACTTTGGAAAGGTCAAGGTTACTCTAGGTACACAGCGGTCTGTGGGAACGATATTAGCTCAGCTGGCAGTCCTCGTGTTGGAATTGTGGCGATAATGCTTTCTTTTTCGGGTGTATATTATGTGCGGCTATACTTTGGCTTGTCACATATAAGGTTCTCCTTAAGCTGTATCTTCCCTGGAACCTTCCCAAAGCATGTAATTTTGGCTAGGTGTCATGGAGTCTTATATTTAGGCTGGATTCAAACTCTTTTGAGGTCACGCCTACCCTAACTAATTCATGAGCTAAAACAGCATTCTAGCTCCAATGAGGCCAAGTGCTCAAAATGGCGTGCGCCAAGGATCCGAGGAAAAAAAAAAAAAAAACTAAGAGGGAATGGGGAGGGGATTCCCA